TCTGTGAATAATGGCCGGTATTTTATTGTGGCCGGGTGGAATGTGGTAACAAGCAAGTACCACTGGAGGGGGGGTGGTGTTTGTGTCATCCGTCTCACTTTTGATTTGCCAGTGATAGACCGCGAGGGTAACTTTAACCGTGCAGAGACAAAGAGGAGGCAAAAATTTGATATCAAGTTCAAAGAGAATGTGCTGATTATGCTGCAGAACACTCTGGGGAGCAGTAGGGGTTGTATGAACTAGTCACTAGTCGACTTCACCGCTCTATAGTGACTTTTTATGCCTGTCATCGACTAGTCGCTGTCACGTGATAATGACCGGCAAGATGCAGACCACGGAAAAGACAGCAGCCTGCTGTCAGCAGGTGACAAGCTCCTGCGCGTCGGGAGGCAACGCGCTGTGCCAGAGCGTCGGCACTGACACCCGCGGTAAAACGGACATTTAACCAAATTGTGACGTTTACCCTCTTGCAATTTAACCTCCCCTCACCCCCATCCTAACCTTAACCAGCTTGCACATAATTGTTGACCCGCTCCAGACATCTGCATCCTGAGCACGGCCACAGTAACATTATCAAATTAGGTGTTGCCACCTCAAAAACTAATTTAACACACGATCGTTCATGTCGGCTCATTTCCTTTCATGTTTTCTGTCTTTTATTTGTGCCTGATGCTTTTCGCTGCTGTGGAGCGGGGCGCATCACCTGTTTTGTCCTTTGGTGACGCACCGATCACTGATGTGGCCGGCGAGCACTCCGCTGTTTTTGCGGTCGGTAGATCTTTTAGAGCTGCAGTTCAAAGGTAACTCATAAGGTGAATATAAATGAACCCAGGTAGCAGTTTCTCTTTAGGATTGAGAGGAGATGCAGGAAGATAATAAACAGGCAGGACAGAAAAATAGTCAAATAAAAACAAGTTAGTTTTTGTACCTGGTGGTTGCGACAAACAGACACCATTGAAGGTAATCAGAAGTGAGGAACAGAAAATGAAATAATTATTTTAATGTTTAGAGCAGCAGGAACTCCGAGAGGCTGCAGGCGCATCAGTGAGTTTGTGGCCGCTGCGCAGGGGGAGGGGGGAGAGGGCTGAAGCAGAAACTACTGTTGTTAAAAGAAATGTGTTTAACTTTGAAAATGTGGGCGCAATTTTAATTGTCAAAAAACTCCAGTGAACCATTAGTTCATTTTGCTCAAACAGAAATTGAGGCCTGCCTCTAATTCTGGTCCTCCTTCCAATAAAGGCCTGGAGCTTGATGAGCTTGAGTCAAATACAGGCCCAGGCCTGTATTAGAGGATTTACGGTACACACATATATATGTATGTATATATGTATGTATATATCCATCCATTGTCTGAACCCGCTTTGTCCACGTAGGGTTGCGGGGGTGGGGGTGGGGGGGTGCTGGTGCCTATCTCCAGCGGTCAATGGGCAATCAGGCGGGGTACACCCTGGACAGAGAGCCAGTCCATTGCAGGGCAACACAGAGACACACAGGACAAACAATCATGCACACAGACTCACACCTAAGGATAATTTAGACCAATAAACCTAACAATCATGTTTTTGGACTGTGGGAGGAAGCCGAAGTACCTGGAGAGAACCCGCGCATGCACAGGGAGAACATGCAAACTCCATGCAGAAAGATGCCAGGCCGGGAATCGAACCCAGGACCTTCTTGCTGCAAGGCAACAGCTCAGTGTTAAAGTCAGACACCTAAAGTAAGAGTACTTATCATACAGATGTCTATAGAGAACGTAAAAATACTATTGAATTCTGCAACATCACTGGACTGCCCAAGTATATGCCTGACCTTTAATCACCTTAATAAAGGACAAATATTTCTCAATACCGGTGTCGGTACAGTATCTGCTCGGGTGCAAGATCGGCTCGGGGTCCTTCGACTGCTGATGACGTCGAAGTAGTTGATTGGCTGAAGATCCACGTTTGGAAGTTACGTAATCACGTTATGGAAATTACGTAATCACGTTACGTCGTTATCAAGTTACGTTGGTCCAGACAAATTTTCTAGATGGACAACTTTTACAGAGAAATCCATTATTACCTTTTAAAAGGGACTTATCACAGCCTTACCATCGCCTCTCAACATCCTGAGAGCAGAAAGGCCACCATTCGAAAGGCATCGAAACGTTACACAATTAATAGTAAGTATGATTGTGACCTGTTGATTTTTAGCGACTCTTTGAAAATACACTTTTAGCATAGAGCTGCATGTATATTAGGGCTGAACGATTAATTGCATGTGCACTTAAATTGCGATGTGACAAAAGGAGATTTTCTAATCGCAAAGGCTGTAATTTGATTGGCAGCGAGTGGTTAGCGCAATGCTAATATACATGGAAAAACCCATAGGAATGCTAATGCTAATATAGCCGATTTCATTCTTACAAATTATGAACTAGAAACGTGCCAACTGATTACATTTGGAGTCTAATAGAAAGTAAAACTACCATCAATCAAATAAGTACAGACAGGTATTTTAGTAAATCCAGAAAACTTTTAACTCCAGAGTTTTGGCTAGCAGCTATGAGCGTACCTGAACTACGCATGGACAAGAGGTCAAAAACTCTAAACACAAAATACTTCAATAAACGGGACACACTTCTTTCCTGCAAATACTATTTCACAGGTGTTGCTAATACCTATGATCCTTCAAGGGATGTGCTCCTGCCTGCAAAGCATTGCACCTTCAAATACAACAATGTGTTTGTAGACAAATAAACGTGTAGATATGATATGTAGATAAATATGTAGATACATAAACTTGTTTATATTCAGTACAAGTTACATAGAATTTTTTTTTGCTTCTGTTAGTTGAAAAATATGAGAAAAGCCTCTTGAGAAAATAATTGTGAATTAAATCGCAATTGCAATATTCAAGAAAAAAAATCGCAATCGGATTACTTTCCAAAATAGTTCAGCCCTAATGTATATATAGCGCAACCAGTTGTGCTTAAGCGCTAAACAAATGTTTTATTTCCCTGGTGCATTAGATGGACACCTGTATTACAAGTCTCAGAGCAAATTCCGCTTGGTGGTGTTTCAGTCGCAAATTTGCGATGTATTGAGGAGTTGCCATGACGACCTTGGTAGTGGGGGACATCCTGGCAGACGCCGTACACTTGAAAAGGTGTCATCATCCTACCACTGGAAGACCTTATTCAAGGATGTCAATAAATGGGTGACAGTTTTCTTCTATCCAGTTGTTCTTTCAAACAAAATTTGGGCTACTCTGATGGGGGAAAAAAAAACAACTAAAAAAAAAACCTACAGTGCTGGTCCACCAGTTAAACCAGCACCAAAAGACAACATATACTGGTAACCACTTATGCTGGTCTATGCTGTGTTTTTTTTCCCCTGCTGAGTATGCTCAGTGGAAGTGGCCATTACATCTGATTAGTTCTATGTAAATTGTGATATATTTAATTTGGTGTCATCACTACATTGCTCCAAATAAGCTGATGTGTGTCAGAAAATGAACCAAAATTAATATAGTATCTTTTTTAATAGGTTGATGAGTGTCCCCGCTGTCAGCAGCATGAAACATTAAAGACTGTTGCACCTGTCCTTCATCCAATCCAAGTTCAGGGAGCATGGAGTGTTCTTGGAATAGATCTGATTGGTCCCCTTCCTACCACTGCAAAGGGCAAAAGGTTCATAAGATTTTGTGTTAAATATGTAACTGTCTTTGAAGTTTGTAAATGCAAATAGTTTAGATAAAACAGAGAACATGAAATTCATGCAATATAAGTTTTGAACAATCTGCATTATATGTTCCAGGTTTATTCTTACAGCCACAGATCTCTTCACAAAGTGGGTTGTGGCAAAATCCCTCTACACTAAAACAGCAACTGAGGTGTCAAAAAAAATTGTCAATATTCTTCTTGATTTTGGACTGGTAGAGAGGATCATTACTGATCAAGGACGGGAATTTGTAAACGAGGTACAATAATGTACTTTAAAGCCATGAATTAGCAACTTAGATTATTTGTAATGGATAATACTGTATTTTTAAGGTGTACACTAATGTGTCTGCAGGTCAATCGTGGTGTTTTTGAGGCTTTGAATGTCAAACATTGCATTACATCAGCCTACCATCCCCAAGCCAATGGACAGGATGAGCGCACCAACCAAAATATAAAGACAGCACTGGCCAAATACTGTGGGGAGGATCAAAATGATTGGGACATCCATTTAAGAGGAATTGTGGCGGGGATCAACACATCTAAACAGGCAATATTATTTAAGAAGTTGTGATGGAACGTTATTCACCAAGATAGACTGTAAAATGTTATTGATTGTATTTTTTTAACAGAGATCAACCAAGTACACACCTTACTGTGCTATGTTTGGAAGACAACCTCGCACACCTGGTGTGATAAACATCACCCAAGAAGGGGGGGATGACAGATCAGTTGTTGTAGAGGTAACAGAGGATCATCTGGAGGCCAAGACTGCAGCAGTTGCTGATCTGCATGCAAAGGTGATTATGAAATGGAAATTATTTGTCTAAAAAACTACAATGTAATGTTATGTTTTGAATAATCATTTTATGAGCATTTTATATTTTCTCAGATTTACCAGAACATAAAAAATGCACAGGACAGACAGAAGAAGGAATATGAGTCCAGAAAAAGACGTCATGTGAAATCCTTCCACTTCAAAGTTGGTGATGAGGTCATGAAAGCAAACAAACGAAAGGAAGGTCGAAAAGGAGGGCGGCTGGAAGCCAACTGGTCTGGGCCATACGTAATAGCCTCACTTTCAGAGAAGGGTGTGGCAACGCTGTTGAACAAATCAGGGAGTCAGTTGAAACAAAGCATTAATGTTTCACAGCTGAAGCCTTTCATCAGCCCTGAACTAAGAGGTATTATCATTGTTCTTATAAAGACACAATGTAGTCTGTGTAGATCTGTGATATTTGCGTCATCTTCTCTTCAGAGTCCAAAGAGCCAGACATGTCAACCACTCAAGGTAATATCTTCCAAGGTATATTTATGAATGCAGTTTAGTCAGTCAGCATGGGTATAGTAGTAAGGAACAGAACCTATTTGTACTCAGAAGAAATGTCTTTTTGAATTTTAACTGCTAAAGATTATAATTTGCAAGTGTTTTAACCACTAACAGCAGAACAGGAGCCAGGTTCTAGTCAGCTGGTAACGCAGCAAGCTACACATGATCATGACTACGTGACTGGTCAGGGATGTAAACAGACCATCAACCCAGTTCAAGCCATGCTGGTGGGTATTAATGTCTGCTGTGAATGAAATTTTTGAATGTATATTGTTTAAATCTCACAATGTGTTTTCTATTTTTAAAAGTACATTTTGCAATTTATTATTTTAAGCTCAACTATGTACTTGATAAAAACCGATCTGGAACAGAGATTGTTGTCAAGGATGGGGATGTCTGTCTGACACGGGAAGACTTCTGGAGCTTGGGCCTTCCTCAATGTATGGAAGCCAATGTAGGTATATTAAGACTTTTATTTGGTTGGAGAGGAATCCAAAAGGTACTGACTTTTGTTACTCTGTTGCAGATTGGAAATGCATGCTTCAGACTTGTCAAAGAAGCTGCCCAAAGACATGTACGTTTTTGCTGTGTATTTAAACCAACATAATGCCCTTGGTGAAGTAGGCCCTAATCAGTTTTTATTTTTTGAGTGGCGTATTCTGATTAATGACACATGCATGTAGCATGACACATGTAATCAAACTTTCCATTTTTATCAATGTAGGGAATAGATGTCCACATTCTAGACATGTATGCTGTTCCAACATTGAAAACAAAGATCGACGACCCAATGACGGTTCTACCTGTAAGTTTTTCCTTGTTATCTGCTCTGTTCTTTGATGGAGCTTGACAGAATATTATGCAAATTTACTTGTTTAAATGCCAGGGTGACATCTTTTCAAAAGATGTTATAATCATCCCTGCCTGGAGTCGACAACCCGGAAAACCTGACCACTACTTGCTTTGCGTGAGTCTGTTTCAAATCTTATCAACAGTCGAACTACATTTTTACTCTTAGTTATTTTCAACATTTATTTATTTTTAGAGTGTATCTAATTTTCTTTTGGAAAATGGTTCACAGGTACTGAAGCCAGCAAAGAGAGAGCTTTTTTTGCTGGACTCACTCAAACCAGATGGCTTTAGCGACAGTGGTTTCCATACCATCTTTAGGTTTTTTCAACATAAAAATCAGCCCTGTTTTGTGGCTTGTTCAGTTTGGGAATTCTACAGAATTCATAGTATTCCAAAAATGCAGGTACACAACTCATTGGCTTTATCTGGCAAATGACAAAATTTAATTTCTAAAAATTATTCTTAAAGATCACATCTGCTTGAGGATACTATGAATTTCAACATTTTGCTTGAATAATAATGAACACAAAGCCTCGTTCAAAGGCTGTTTTAAAGTTAAGCCTCGTTCAAAGGCTATTATAATTTTAGTTTTGTCTTGGTTAAGCCCTGTTCAGTGGCTTCTTTTTAAACACAAATAAAAGTATGAGGTTGCTAATTTGTTTTTCTGGTGATTTTGACAGTGACCTAGCTCATCGCATTGCTCCAGGCAAGTGGGCAACAAAGTTTGGAAGAGACATTGAGGTACCCCAGTGTATCAATATTGTATTTTTGTGCACATGTCTTTAAACCTGATTTTATCCTAACGTTTTATACCCAACACACAGGGTTTTCCTCACCAAACAACTGGGAACTCTTGCGGCATCTTCATGTTGATGGTAAATAGTTTTATTCTGTTCAAAAAATCTTTGGTGTTATTTTAAACTTCCATTTCTGAAAAAATTTAATTTTTTTTACAGTATGCACTCAACATGACGACAGGCGTTCCATTTTCATTCACAGAGGTCAGAATTTCTTCTGAATAAGAGGAAAGTATAAAAGAGGGCCATAAATGAGATTTCATACATAAAGTCTTTGTAAGGCCAAGCATAAGCTAGACTTTACCCTTTTATTGACTATTTCAAAATGATTTATTTTAGAGGGACATGGCACACATCCGAAAATGGTGGTGCATTAGTCTGATGGAACGATTCCAGATTGATGGGTAAAACAACTATTAATATTATTCCCAAAACAAATTCCACATTACTTCACTTCTTTTAATCTGTCATTAATATATCACTCGACAGTCATGGACAAAGATTTGCATACTGGACTAATGAGGCTAAAGCATTGCTCCAAGGGTCACTGCAACCAATATACAGGATCCCAAAGGCCAGAAATGGGGACAATGAGGTGAACTTTGCGAAAGCATTTAATTGCATGTCTGTTTGTGACTGAACCATTCACAAACTCCTAATGATTTCAAACAAAGATATATATATATTGTTTTACACTTTTAGGTTCAGTTTGAAAAGGCCAACAGATGCTTCATACTGGAGGTAATCTCAGTTTAATTATTTTCTTAAACTTCAACCATTGAACACAGCTGAACACACAACATATGCACATTTCATCCATCTCAGGAACATTTCAAAGCTGAGTCCCATTCTGTCCCGCTCTGAACTCTGAGATTGTTATCCACCCCTTCATCTCCTCACGCTCAGTGTTGGGAGTAACGCAGTACAGAAGTAATTAATTACTGTAATGCATTGCTTTTTGCTGTAATGTGGTAATGTAAGGCATTACAGGGAAAGAAAAGCAATAATATATAAGCATTTAATGTTTCTACATGTGATAGAATCAGATCGCCGAATCAAGGCATTTGGGGACCAAGGCAAATATAGGCTTGGAGCCCCCACCACCTCACATCCTGCTCAGTTAATCTAAGATGGCAGCATGCTGAGAGTACAGTTTGTTGTTGCATTTATTTAATGAAGAACCGTTATCATATCTGACTGTTTTTAACAGCAATCCTAGCTCAGACACCACATCACTTTCCACTGGAAGTGTTGTGAGCTCACTGAGTGTCACATGACCTAATTCATGTTGAAATTGTTTTGGTGAAAGCAACTTAAAGTAATGCAAAAGTAGTGTAATGCCTTACGTTTTAAAATCAGTAATATTGTAATGTAATGTATTACATTAAAATGAGGGTAACAAGTAATAATGCATTACAGTTTTGAAGTAACTTGCCCACACTGCTCATGCGTAGACTATTGCAACTCGCTTTTCACTTGTCTGAGCAAAACCTCCCTGAACCGTCTTTTATTTTTTTTATTGTGCTCATGAAGTGCTATCTTATTCTCATGTTGAAAGGTGTTATACAAACAAAACCTTTCTACCAGGGGAAATACAACATCAGAGAAATGTATAATGCTGTTTTTTTTTTTTTTTTTTTTGTTTTATGTTCACGTTAAAAACTAATTATGCACAGTTGGTATGACATCCTTAATATGTTTTATTTGCCTAACCAATATTTTACAGTTGCCGGATTGTGTGCTCTCAGAAGTCTTGAAGGAAGTGATCCTCCTGGAAGGAGATAAGGCATATTTGACACTGGCTCTTGTATGCACCACATTCAGAAACACTGTGTCCACTATCTCCTTCAGGAGACAGGCACATTTTCTGTGGCTTGACAGTAAGTAGTTCAATTAAGGGTACAATGGTATACAATACAGTATATTCAAGAATTTTTCACAATTTTTTTTTCCTCAGGTGTTGCTACATGGAGCATGTTTTCTGCATCACACAGAAAGGCATTCTATGCCATGTACAACATTGAGACCTGCTTTGAATGTGGAAAGCTATATAAAAACAGCACACCTGGTACAACACTAACACTAGATGCTCTTCATTTTATATCATGGGAAGCAGTATTCATGTCATAGACCACATGCAGAAGGTAATGGTTGTTGATTTATTTTTATTTTTCTTACAGGATATGTTGGAACAGGAAAAAGAGGAGTACTGCAATCCTTTTACTCTGAATGCCCCCATCCAGGATACTGCAGTCACTTCTGCAGGCAAATGCAATAGGAAAACAAGATATTACACACACAAACACAAAAACACACAAAAGCTTCACTAGATTAAATTAACTAACCGAAGAAGTGTATCCAAGAGGATGGTCTAAAAAAGAATTGTTATAAAAGTCACAATAAACATAAATGACAACAAAAAATCAAATGTTAATTTCTTTTTCATCATACATTTGATTTGTACAAATATTAAATGGGATATGAACATCTCAGTTGTAAATATAATGAAATTATATAAAGCCTGTTTTTGTTGTAGCTCCACTTCCTGCATCTCATCCCCAACTTGCTTGCTGAGAGGAGTCAGACCCTGGGATCCTCTGTTTTGGACCTTTGTTCTTATTTGTTACTCATGAGTACTATATTGCTCCAGTGTTTGTGTTTTTGATTTAAATAAAATTTGAACTATGAAAAAATTTGATCAACTCAAATTTTGATGAAATGGATTGAAATATTAAACATAAAACATTAGTAACAAAATAGAAAGAGCAATTAAACATTATGAATACAATAGTGTTTTATTTTACAAATACCATTATAACCACAAACGTACATGGTAAGAAACATAATTTTGAAAACGAAACTGCTAAGTTCTTTCCAAAACCTGAGTGAAAGAACAGTATAAAGCAGATGTGAAGTGTATTTTGTCCAACTAAACACAAACGTACATGGTAAGAAACATTATTTTTAAAACAAAACTGCTAAGTTCTTTCCAAAACCTGAGTGAAAGAACAGTATAAAGCAGATGTGAAGTGTATTTTGTCCAACTAAACACAAACGTACATGGTAAGAAACATTATTTTTAAAACGAAACTGCTAAGTTCTTTCCAAAACCTGAGTGAAAGAACAGTATAAAGCAGATGTGAAGTGTATTTTGTCCAACTAAACACAAACGTACATGGTAAGAAACATTATTTTTAAAACAAAACTGCTAAGTTCTTTCCAAAACCTGAGTGAAAGAACAGTATAAAGCAGATGTGAAGTGTATTTTGTCCAACTAAACACAAACGTACATGGTAAGAAACATTATTTTTAAAACAAAACTGCTAAGTTCTTTCCAAAACCTGAGTGAAAGAACAGTATAAAGCAGATGTGAAGTGTATTTTGTCCAACTAAACACAAACGTACATGGTAAGAAACATTATTTTTAAAACAAAACTGCTAAGTTCTTTCCAAAACCTGAGTGAAAGAACAGTATAAAGCAGATGTGAAGTGTATTTTGTCCAACTAAACACAAACGTACATGGTAAGAAACATTATTTTTAAAACAAAACTGCTAAGTTCTTTCCAAAACCTGAGTGAAAGAACAGTATAAAGCAGATGTGAAGTGTATTTTGTCCAACTAAACACAAACGTACATGGTAAGAAACATTATTTTTAAAACAAAACTGCTAAGTTCTTTCCAAAACCTGAGTGAAAGAACAGTATAAAGCAGATGCGAAGTGTATTTTGTCCAACTAAACACAAACGTACATGGTAAGAAACATTATTTTTAAAACAAAACTGCTAAGTTCTTTCCAAAACCTGAGTGAAAGAACAGTATAAAGCAGATGCGAAGTGTATTTTGTCCAACTAAACACAAACGTACATGGTAAGAAACATTTTAATAACGAAACAGCTAAATTCTTTCCAACAGTATAGATGTGTACTGTATTTTGTCCGAGTGGGTTTGCCGTACTTTGACGTCATCGGCAGTCGACGGACCCCGAGCCGATCTTGCACCCGAGCAGATCTTGTACCGACACCGGCCAGATGTATCGATACTCTTGTTAAGAGGCATTAGAAAATGTTTTAAGCTAATTTGTTTTCCAGATTCGCTATTTGCAGCTTTACCTCTATTTTCAACAAAGACCTGCCAAGATAGGCAATGTTTTACATTTGAAGATATAAACTCATTCTTTACTGATAGTAAAAGAAAATACTCAAACACAAATGTAATGCATGTGCCATTTTATTTACAAACTGCATCTTTAGTGATCATTTTGGATATCACAATACCTCCAACTCACAAAGAGTCAATCCTATGAAGAACTGAAAAAAAGAAAAGGCAAAAAAATCAAATGAAACGTTTAAAAATTGCAATGGTGAATAATACTTCTGTGAAAAATATAGATCTGTCATAAAAGGTCATCTTTGTGTGTAAAGCAATATAAAGACAACTTTCATATATTTCATTCTACCTTAAAATAATTCAAGGCATTGATTTCTGATTGACATGGAAGAACAGCACCAGAACCGCACTGATTCCAGTAAAATGCACCTTATGAGAAAAACATCTGAAGTTGAACGACAGCTGCTGCAGTTCTCATCCTCTCCTTTTCTACAAAATGTACATTTTTATTATTATGAATATGTTGGCACTCCATAACAAATGGATGTTTTACACTGTACTTAACTACAGTTATATATAAAGATTTGTTTTTACAATAGATCAACTCTGTATGTAAGCCTACTTAAATGATTAAGGCTTGTTAAAGTAGGCAATCAGATTCCTGTGTTTAATTAGTGGTGCTCTACTTCCTATACTGATTGCTTTCTACCTAGTGCATACTTTTACAATGAGTTAAAATGTGACATTTAAGGGGAGAATGGGGGTGGGGGGGTAAAAAGCCAATATAAATCTATAAAAAGGCCCACAAAAGAGGGCTCTGAAAACTACAAAACCCTACAAAGTACAGGAGTTGTTTCTTTCCAAAACGTTCTCCCAAATAAAGTCAGTGTTTTCTGTTGGGAAGGGATCCGTTTCTTCTGAGGCTTTCATTTTAATTTCAGGCATCTATTTGTACTTTTTTTTTTTTTTTTACCAAATTTGCAGAGACTGGATCATGTGCAGACCTGCTGCACTTGACTGATTAGCTCCCCGAAGCGATCAAAGAGCTTCTCGACCCAAGCTCCGTTTTGCAGACACTTTTGTATGGTCTCCTCCTGCCCGAGGTCTCCTGCCTGAACCTGCAGAGACGCAATCTAGAAGACACAAAAACAATTCTAAAAAGCTGCAAACATAAAAGTACTGTCAGAACGAATGTTTCTCATTCAATCGTACGTAAGAAAGAGTAACCGAAGCGTTCCACGTTATAGACGCGTTTTAAACCAGGTTAGCATGGCCTGCCGGACTCGCCCTCTCTCTCTTCTCTACACAGAGGACACGTCTGGATACTCAGAGACAGAGAGCACCATCAGAGGTGGGACTAGCCAGCTCAAAATAACCAATCATAAAAAAGGCGTTGTTTTTTAGCTGAAGTCAAAGATGGCGTCTGATGACATTGCAAACATCTTTGTTTAGAAGAAAGGCTTTTAGCAGCTCTTCTGGTTGTGGTTTTAAAGACATGTCCAAGTCATTTAGAACAGAGTAAAGAGCCGCAGCGAACTCCGCTTCAGACGCCATCTTTGCTGTTTATGAGGAACTGAGTGTTGCGGTGTGTGGCGTATGCTAAGCCTTGACTTTTCTTTTACTAGTTAAAGGGAGACTTGACAGTTTTATGTTTATTTATTTAGCAGACGCTTTTATCCAAAGCGACTTACAATTTATAACCTATAGGGCATGTTGTGATCTGTGGGGGAAACCGGAGTACCCGGAGGAAACCCACACATGCAAGGGGAGAACACGCAACTCCAAGCAGAAAGACCACAGCCGAGTTTCAAACCCGCGACCTTCGTGCGGCGAGGCAACAGTGCTAACAACTGCGCCACCATGCAGCCCAGTTTTGGCTTGCTTTTAGCACCCTCTAGTGTCCGTTTGTAGAACCGAAAGCAAAACCTTTCTCTTCGCAGTGCATTTGTCTTTTTAGCACCTTATCTAACAGCTGAAATGTCTCCTCAGCCTTCCTTAGTGTCTTCAGGAGTTACTCATCACCACATTAAACAAATCAGCTGTGTTAATCATCTAAAACATGCAGCAGACATCTCAAGTCCCAACAAAGTGGACCGGAAGTGGAATGTTCTGGCCACAGCCTTTCATTAACCCTGCAAAGAGCCATTTTAGCACATACTGGCTCAAGAAAATGAGTTATAAATATGAAAAAGTTTCAAAGTGGCTCTTAAGGAACTGGGGATCTGCATGTGTATTTTATTTAGAAAGTTTCCAGATGCTGCTTTTGTGCTGGACTTCTTGTCTGGCTGCGATCTGGACTACTGTGCTTGACATGTTGTGGAAGCGCAGCGAGTGAAAAATAGACTTGAAGCGACACAAACTATGGTTTTGGGATGTGTCTAAGAAGTGCTGCTCCACGCCAGCTGGAAACATACCCATGGACTACAACAGTGCCTATCAGCTGCACATAATGCTTGGTGGATGTTACGCTAATGCACCCAGTGGGAAACGCTGGGTAACATCTCACTAATTGTGCACTGAAAGATTATGGCCATGTACACACACAGCTGGGTTTTTGTATAACCGGATGCTCTCCCCCCACCCACCAAGGAAAAAACACCTCGTTTTCAGCAAAAAAATCCCCAAAACATTGTCAAAAAACAATCATTGGAAATGGTTTAACTAGGTGGCAGGCAAAAAGCGTCCTTAACGTCGTTCTTTGCCTGCTTTCTTCTTATTAAAGCAACAACTGAATTTGTAAAAACATGTAAGTGGAAACACGGGTCGCCGTCAAAGCAATTTGGTCACGGGCAATGATGTAGCAATTAGAAAATCTCCACTTTGATGGAAAGTTTTAAAAGAATCATTTTGCGTTCCGTTTATCTTCACTTTCGTGTGGACGACAGGCCAGACCATAGAAACATATATTCGTGTTATGGGATAGCCGCTACGTGTGCACATGGTCTAAAGCCTGGAACACACTGTGCGGTTTGCGGCTGTCTTAGCCAAATCCCGCGCCGGGAGCATAGCCGTGTAAAAATGGTGAATGTGAGTCTGTCAACAAGCATGCTTAAACGCCTGCGACTCCTGTCTGCAACTGACCAATGAAACACACCTTTGGGACGCTGCAGCAGCAGCAAGCCTCCGCCTCTCTTAACTTAGGTTTTAATTTTATGTTTAAAATGCAGATCATAAACTACACACCAGTTTTGTTGATAGCCAAAGTTAAACTAGAGTTATACTAAAAATAATTCAACTACCATTTTAGACGATCAGACAAAATGTGAAAACCGTGATTTTATGATCTGTGAGAGGAACATAAAAAAATAAAACACAAAAACATGAGATCCCTTTGCTGTTGGTGGAGATGTCACATATTGAACTGATGCGGATGATTCAGTAGCGTTTTGTTGCAGAGATGGGAGGCTGCGCTCCGTGACGGCGCTTCACGCCCGCTGTCACGGGTGAAGCTGATGAGAGAACGGTGAGACAGAATTCAAAACTTTAGATATTGGAGCAATGCGAGAGATTGTTACTTCTCTGCAGTTTCGTGGATTTTTACATCTAAAGGAGGACGAGAAGGATGAATGTCCAACTGACAGATCGGCAGAGGGTTTTGAAAATTATTTTTCATCTTTGAGGAAGATGAGCTGGGTCATGAGCTGACTCTAAAAAGAAATGTTAACTGCTGCGCTTATTTATCTTTTCAGCTTTGTTTTGGTTAGCGGTCTGCTTAGTGACGTATGCTTTCTGTAGCGTTTCCTGCTGGAGCAAGACGTCGTGCAGTCTGACTCACAGAAGGTTTGCGTCGTAGTGTGCCACCTTATGGAGTCCTCACAGTGTGACACAAACAATCCAGTGCGATGGCCAAAGTTGGCACAGTGTTAACCCGGTATAAAACAAACTATAACCTACCTTGTCCTTACACCTGAGGTACGTGTGGTATTTGTAATGCTGCAAAGAGTGGTACAGAGAGAACCACTGAGATTTCTGCTGGTCCACTGTATACTCCTAGAAGAGGAAAAAGTTGATTAAATGCTTTGAAATTTAGATTTTTTAATTATTTGCGTCAGAAAATTAATAAAAAAGTGCATTAGATTCTCATCTGAGAGGATGGGATGTAAATAAGTCACTAAATAATTTCAGAGCTTCCACAGGTGGAGATATGAGCAATGCTCCATGTTTTATACAAGATCCAAACGTTCTGTCATGAATCAAAGAGTTTGAGATTCTGCTACAGATAAACACAAATAGCAACACTGGACAGTCTGAACACAATTTCACACACACACACACACACGCACGCACGCACGCACGCACGCACACACACACACACACACACAAAAAACACGACTCCATCTCACCTGAGGCACTTTGTTGGCCACCTTGTACGGCTTCATAGTCTTCCTATTGTAGGCTTTTCCACTGAGGCGCACCTTAAAGGCTGGGGTTTCCCCGTCTTTCTCCGGTTCTGTCACCACGGAAATCTCTGGGAAGCCGTCCAAGGCCGCCTGAGGAACACAAAACAGTTTTATAAGCTGGGAAGAAAAAATAAGACCGTCTTTTTTCCTTTCACATTTAAAGTACATTCTAGACAAAACACAAAAGCCGACCTTTAGGACCTGCCCCACGTGCAGTTTGTTCAGCAGGCGTTTGCTGTTGTCAGCAATCATGCCATCTACTTTCTTCATGTGTGGCAGCAGCAACTCATCTGAAACACAACCAAACAAGCACGTCATGGATGGAAACCAAGCTAATCTGGAATGTTGGTCCAAATTTCAGAGTGAAGAGTACCAACCATTGGCTTTCTCCAGAGCTGCCAGCACGTCATCGTCCAGGGCGGCGCTGACGAGCAGCTCCACAAAACTCCTGAACGTCTCCTTCATGGTTCGAGTGTTGATGGGCCTTGAAGCAAACGGAGGGCTTAGCTCTGAGTAACAGAGGAGGAAAAAAGTTCAGATCAAACACAGAACTATATTTTAAATCTCAATTTCAAGAAGAGAGAGTCCTCAGCACCTTCAGGTGGTGATCCTGAGGCCGTGGATGAACACTCCTCTTTCCACTTCCTCCTCTTCTTGGGTGGCGGTTCTGCCCTCGGTTTTGCTTGTTTGGGTCGAGGCTTTTGGTTCTGGAAAACGGAGGAAGGTAGAGCCATCAAGCCCAGCAGAGTTTGCACCTGAGAACCCCTGTGGGTCAAAAGGACAGCATTTACAACCAGAGGGAGACATTTCATCAGAAACATCAAAGCTCCACCAGCGAGCTCTCGGCTCGTACCTAAAAGAGCTCATCGGCTTGCAGCGCGGCTTCCGGCTACAAACACGCACGTACTCCCTTTTGTTCACCGTGTCCAGAAACTTCACGTACACTCTGTGGTACATGTTCTTCGCATCGCCAAAGTATCCAAGGTACTGCAAACACAAAAATAATTATTTTTTTTAAATGCTGCAAAACCAGGAGGTCGACTAAATGCGTCCTTTTACAAGTTCAGCTCACACTGTTTGTGGCGGAGAAGACTCTCTTTCCGTCCCGCATCTCAGGCACAAATTTTTGCAGCAAAGCCTTCTGGACCTTCCAAATAGCCGGAGGCTCAGTTCCTGCCCTCATTGTCGCCTATGAATGTGAAATTTGAATTTGGAGCCATATTTGAGTTTGATTGTGGTTGACTAAATAAGTTTTGTGGTAAATAAAAATAAAAGTGAATATCAACAAATTTCAACATAAAGTTACGTAGCTGGTTTATCCATAAGCTAGATTGGTTTTGCTCTCTGAAGCACCTTCATGGATTCGACCTCCTCCTTCCGGACAACAAACTCGTCTCTCTCCCGGTACATTCCCTCTCCCCCGCTGTCAGACAGCTCCTCATCTGTGAGTCCCTCCATGGCCACGCTCATCAGCTGCACAGCCAGCTCGCCTGACGGGACCACTTTAAGCTCGTCTTTGGTCACAAACGCCGTCCCACCTGAGACCACGGCTGCCACAGGTGCAGCGGGCACCTGCTGCAGGTAGACCTGCGTGACGATGAACGACGTGGTCGGAAGCTGGTCTGGTTTCATTGTGGAACTGTGGATTTGGTTATCTGAATGATTGGGAACATATGAACACGGTGAAGGTAAACTTTGACAAAAAGAAAGACAAAAGTGACGTCAAACTGGGGCTATGGTAACAAGTAGGACATTACCTGTCCTTGTTTTCCGATCTGCCGCCTCGTCCAGAGACGAGAGTGCTGAGCTGATGCTGTTCCTCAGAGCTTGGTTCCTACCAGTGTTCTCCTCTTCATCTGAGCTGAAGGATGGCAAAGTCTCCAGGTTCTTTTGGAGATCTTCCTCCAGACGTTTCTGCTGAGAGCTCGCTGCCGGACTCTCCTGATGAAGCAACGGTCCAGGCAGAATCTGTACTTTGGGGCGCAAAGCAGACAAAGCGCACGGTTTGGAATGGGCGGATGGTTTTTTCGGGCGATTAGCTGTTCTTGCAGGACTTTGGGAGTGCTGCTGTTTGGGTCCAGACTTGATAAAGTCCAGGAAGGAACCAATGAAGCCAGTTTTGACTTCTGGCTGTTTCTCTTCCACTTCTCGAATCTTTTGCCTGATTCTCTCTTGTTGGGGACAGCCATCGTAGGTACTCTGTGGAGCTGATGGCGGACTGACATCACTGGCCCTGGAGTTTTGCCTCTTGGACTGCCCACTACGCTTGGCTAGTCTTGATGGTCCTCCATCATCTTCAGCAGCTCCTGCTTTGCTTGAGGACTTGGAGCGTACCTTCTTTTTTGAAGAATCTTCCCCAGCAGGACATTCTTTGAAGACCTCTTGTGTTTTAGCACATTTAGCATTGTCTTTGACTTGGTTTTGGACACCTGAAGAGTCAAACATCTGTTCGCCTGAGTGGTAGCCATTCTCAGAGCTCCTACCATGTTTATTCGTGTTTAGATCGGTAGAGCTATCATGCAGAACGAGCTGACCCTGACAGTCGGTGACCATCTGGGCTCCATCTAACGTCATACTGACAGTGTAACAGTTAGTGTTGGTTGTGATTGAATGCTGTGCTGAGGAGAAACTTGGTGACATTTGTCTCAAATCGATCGTCTGTAGATGTGCTTTGGACTCAACGGGACTTCCTATTTCTGCCATTTCAGCCTCAGCGGAAGATGCAGCTTTCACAAAATCTTGGGGTGCAACACCGCAGGCCACCACAGTGGCAGCCAAGATGTCGTCAACGTTTGACAAGATATTTCTGTCGTCTGCCAGCAGCATAGAGTCTGGGAAGCAAATAGAGTTGAGGGTGAACTGGTTCTTGGTGTCGTTTTGTTGCTGACCTGCTGCCTGGCTGTAGTGATGTTTAGAGGAAGAAGAACACTCCGATCTTGGCTCGGTCATTACTGTGGCCTGCAGACTTTGGGTTTCAGTGACAATGGGAGTTAGAAGGTCTCGATTCATCTGAAGGTACTGCACATGAACAGGGTCCACGCACTGAGCTGGTGGTTCACTGTGGTGAACAAGGGGCTGCTGGACCAGAATCACCTGGTTGGGCTCGAGGAGAACCTGAGAGCTAGGAAGTGTGATGAACTGGTTATTTTGTTGATTCTGTTGAAGTGGGTCGGGAGGCCTAAGCTGAACAGGGGGCTGCTTTAGTTGCTCTGGACAAAGAGGAACGTGGGACGGAATGATCGTGGAGTTTGTAGTCGTCGCGTTGGCAACTTCATGACCATCGACGCCATTTGAACAAATCTGCTGCTGGCTCACAGAACCAATCGGTTCATCCTTCAGCTGTACTGAATGTGTAAGACTGTGTCCCAGGAACTGTTCATCGGATTGAGAATTGCTATGAATGACAGTTTGCTGTTTGTGATCGTCCATTTTCGAAACGACACAGATGACGTTGTTATGGGGGACCGCGCTGCTATCTGCAGCAGAAACCATAGACACTTGTTGTAGAGCCACGATATCCTGGAGAGGAAGCTCTTCAAGTTTTTGTTTGGAATATATTGGCTTTATGTCCTGTATGGAGGAGCTTATGGTGTTTTGTAAAGACTGAGCAGATGAAGAGTAGGTGGGCATGGATACAGACAAAATGTTTTGGGTCTGCGTCAGAGCGCTGTGGGCGTCCCCTCCCAACGAGTCCTGCACATGGCCATAGTCCACGGTAGAACTTGTTGGGAGGCTCTGTACACAAGTGGCCGAATACACAGCATTAAGGGAATGTCCGGTGCTGTAGCTTTGACACGGTGCCACAGATTCCTGCTCTTGTGGCGGAGATGTAAATGTCATATTCGGGGCACCCTGAGAGTGGGAAGTAGAGTAACTTTCAGAGAAAGTGTCCTGACACAAGCTTTGGACCTGGGCTGCGTACGGGACCCCCTCCTCCTGCCTCAGCCCAGGGGTGGAGGAGTACACAAGAGTCTGGCCAAGAGGTGCCACATTATCAGAGTGGCTTGACAGAGAAGGTAGAGTTGTATAAAGGGAGGGTAGTTTTTCAGAAGGGGATTGGGAGGTCGGAGTCTGAGTGTGGGGTGTGATGTAGGTCTGAGACAAACCACTTGCCAGTAGGTTAGAGAGCTGGACTACTTGCTGACTGGAAATCACTGAGTTGTGCTTGTGAGCAGGATAATGCTCAGGAGACCCTGTTCTTAGGTTCTGAGAGGAACTCTCTTCATCCCCAGCAGAGTGTGGAGCTATTTTGGAGGAACAGTCTTGTGAAGGAGATGGAAAAGCATCCGTTTTTGGCTGTGGAGAACCATCGACTACTTGGGTTGAGTCTGCCCTCGATGATGAGCAGCTGGACACCGGGGTGTGACGGGATGGGTCCTCCTGGTAGGACACATCTGTTTCACTGCCTGGGCCGTAGTAACTCTGCAGAGAGTGCTCCGAATTGGGCAACTCCTCCGAGGCCATGTGGGTACTTGGAGGCCTCTGGTGGTGCTTGATCACACTACATTCACGTTGAAGTGCTCTTTCAATAGAGTTAGAGAAAACTGTAGCCCCGTATGGCTGCGGGGCACCATGAGGAGCAGGCAGTGCAGTGGGAAGCAAACTGAATTGGGGCTGCAAGAGGTGTGGGGCTGACTCCTGGGCCGAGCGGTACGTGGAGGACTGCACAGGCAGAGCAGAGCCCAGGGATGGCGTGGAGAGGTGATTGAAGGCCAGGGCAGTGGGAAGGACAGCCTGGCTGGGTTTGTAATGGAGCAGCGAATCATGGTGAGAAAACAGGCCGTTAGTGGAAGGGCTGAAGGCAGGATCCTGGAGAGCCAGGGAGGCGTTGGTAGCATAACTCCTGGAAGGGTAGGCACCTGTGTGCTGAAAGGATGACAGAGCAGCAGGAGACGGGAAAGTGGCTGTTGAAGGCAGGGCACCAGTCAAGTACAGCTCAGTGGTGGAAGAGTTGGTACCTATGCGGAACAAATTACATGAAATAAAAACACACTGCACTCAAACAGAAAATAAAGTACATCATTTTAAAACGTTCTCACCAGCGGGCCAAGACGGAGGTCTAAAAGGAGGAAGCAGCGAGGCACTAACAGGACCAGCCTGAAGACTTCTCGACTCCATAGCTGACAGGAAGCTCATGATTGAGGTCACTGGAGTATTGCTGCTTGACTCAAGTGTTCCTGATAGCAGATTTAAAAATAAATATCATGTCAGAATTAATAAAGACATAGTATCTAATTCCAAGTGGGGATGTCAACTTTTCAGCTAAATTGGCAAACAAAAGCGTAACTCGCAGGACTCACTTGTATCTGCTGGGATGTGAGTTGTAGTGTAAGTAGGAGGCTGGTGTGTTGACGAGTAGCTCTGGTGCTGGAGGAGCTCTCCATCGAGGTGTGCCGCTCCATAATTGGGACTGAACGCACAAAAGAAAACCATAAGTCTTCTCTTTTCTTTAACAAGTAACAAGTTTGGTATGTGAAAAAGCTTGAAAGATGAAGTGCAGAAGAGATGGATGGTGCGCTTATCTTTGCAAGTGACTTACGAAGCTCTGATAGAGATTACTGAATTATTGAGTGGCCTTACAATCTTTTATTTATTTATTTTTTTACCTCTGTTTATTTCAGCATCAGCACTATTGAAAACTCTCAAAGCTAAAAGAAAAGCTATCAACCTTTCCAGGAATCCTAATATTGTTGTTATTGACACTAGTCATGTGTTAAAGCCACGCAGAATCCAACACAAGTTCCTAAACAATGCTGATGCAACAAAATTGCTTAAAAAACGAATCTGGGTGACAGTATGCTGTTTTTTGTGGCAATTTTCTTTGTAAAATGTTTATTTTGGAAAATAAAACAGCAGTAAAAAAACTACACTTGCATTATTTGTATATTCATGGTAAAAAAATAATTGATTAAACTCAAATGTAATCGATCTAGTGAACCCAATCCAACGTATTGTCCTTCTGTGAGAAAGTAAACATCTGTGGCTGAAGCTGAAATTAGTCATTTAGGTTGTTTACTGGTCTTTTAGACAAACACACCAGATATTAAGAAGAAGAAAAGATCATTTCTATAGTTAAGCTATTCCTATGTACTGACAGACTTCAAAAAGATGGGAAAAATGAAATTTAATAAATTTAAATGTCGGGGTATGCCTGATGAGTGTCCTAATAAAACTCCACTGCTGCTTCAGATAAATAAAATAATAAAAATAAAAATCAAAACTTTAACCTATTACAGATTTAATCTATTATATAAACGCGTTTATGGTATAATTAGCAATAATGATCAAATAACTGTTAGAATCATTAGTTTTTTCCCACTTCGATCAATGTTTTTAGAGAAAAACAACTTAAACTGGTATTAAGTTATAACAATTATAGCAGCTTTGTCAACTGATATATCAGCTGTGAATCACAATACAACAGTTGTATCTCATTTAATTAAAAAAATCAAGCTAAATTCCTCTGAAAAACAAAAACAATGGCAGGAATATAATGTACACACACCATCATGTCGCTTAAGAGACACTGATATGTCATTAATTACTATGTATTGACTTGTTTTGGCTTAGGTATTCAAGAAAAAGACCCATAAAATGATAATCTGCATTAGCTAGCTGATCAAATCATAATAAAGTTACGAGGCAGCAGTTTTTGGGGTCCGTGGCCATACTGGGAGAAGAAGGTTTGTTAGGAAAAACTGCACAGTAACAAGTCCGTCTCCACAGCTGCTAAAAAGTGGAGATTTACCCCTAAAAGCTCATGACAACACTGCGTCTATGGTTCGTCTCCGAGCTCAGAGCTAGGCCCTCCATCACCGGGGTTTCCTTCCGAAGGTGTCCCGCCCCCTGTTTCATCTCCTTACCTTGGTTTGGTGCTAGCCGAGCCGCGGTCGTAGGCCCACGAAGCTGCGGTCTGTGCCGGAGTAGCCAGCGCGTCCGCAAAGCTGGAGCTCGGGTAGTTCCTGTCCATCATCCGGTGAACGAGTCGCTTCTTCCCCGGAGGAGCTTCGAGAAGCGGTGGACGCACATCGTAGCAGCGGAGGAAACCGCAGCCCGGGTCGGACCCTCCGAGTTGAAAGGAGCGTGCAGCCTGCGTCGTCCCGCAGGAAAAGTGTCTCTTTACCCTCTTGGGGGATTTTTCGTTGTTGTTATTTTTCTTTCATCTCCTGTTGGTGTAAGTTAGTTACTCCTCCAGGAGACGCGTGTGCGTGCGTGCGTGCGTGTGTGTGTGTGTGTGTGTGTGTATGTGTGTGTGTGAGAGAGAGAGGCAGGAACACATGGCTGCAGCTAGCACGCTACAAACGTCCCATGGAAATGGACACAATGCTAACAGGAAGGGAAAAGAGTGAACAGAGATAAATAAACAAAATAAAATGTAAAATAAAATAATATCACACGAAAAAAAATATTTAAAAACCATCCAGGTGGAGTGCTGGTTTCAACTCACGCTCTCAAAAGTCATGATTTTTGTTTTTTTATTTGCACTTTGTTTCAAAATACAAATAAACGAATTAATCACAAAACTGAATCCTACTCACGCTTGAAGCGCAATTTCTGCTGTTCTTATGCTTAATTATAATTTTATCCATGAAAAAAATCAATAACATATCAAGACATCTATGTACAGGTAAAGTAATCTGCACGTACAGATTATTTACAGCCCATTTTCTTTCATAATTAGATTATTTGCTTAGCCATGTCTCACAGTCTACTTAATCCTTATTCCTAATTTTACCCCAACTTTGCTGTATATTTGAAAGAATACTTCGTCATGTCTCATATCAAGCCACAAAATTCCCATGTGTAATTTTGTTATACTATTCTGTTATCGATTAGTTTGGAACACACTAGTGTTAATCTATTGTCGCTATACACTTTATGAATTGTGTAATTTTAATGTATTTCCTTGATTGTGTTATTCTTATTCAAATAATCTGAGATAGGAATGAATAAGCATATAACTGAGTGAACTGCTATATAAAGGAACACACATTTAAGAGTAAAAAATGTATATGGAAATAAACTTCATTCATAGCCAGACTCCAGCTGAATTCTGTTTATTTATGCAAGAAATGCTCAGAATGCAGATTGTATCTGAAAGAAAAGACTGAATGTTGTGGATTAAATCCCTAAATCCAAAACAATAGCTTTATAGTCATAGTTCACATCTTTGAAGTGGGATTGTGTGAAAAAGCTATAATTTATCATCATTGCTCTTTGAACAGCCTGTGTTTGGAGAAAGACGGATTAGTTCTGCTCAAACAGAATGTTATGTCCCTGGGAAGGTGTTTAACCCACGACATGAAGAATCATCACATGACAAAGGAAGAAAGTTCAAACAATGATTTATTTAACCTAACTAAAAGTGTCCTGAAGATATCCAAGTACAACGTAGCCGGCACGAGTCCAGAAGCCAGCAGGGAGGGTAGACGGTGTGACGGGGTGTCCAGGAGAGGGAGCCAGATGATGGCAGCAGAGGGCAGTGGAGCAGGAGGAGAGGCGAACCTTGAGAATTGTAATCCAGGCGGGTTAAGCCGGGCGTACACTGTGCGACTTTTTCACTTTTTTGAGCCGATTTTCCAGTCGTGCGAGAAGCCACGACATCGGGGCGAGTTTTGCGCCGAGCGGTCGTGTAGTGTACAGGGGGTTACGAGAGGCGATTAACACCACGTGACCAGCCGCCGATCAGCAGTCGTGAGGTCGCAGGGACTTCTGGTGTGTTTAATATTTCGCTCGTCCCTCGTGAGGGTATCGCACTGTTGAAGCGGCGCTGCGAGCAGCTACGATCCAAAAAGTATCAGAACCGCTCACGGCGTATGCGCGCGCAATCCTGCATCAACGCCGGCCGGTCGCTCGCTGTTTCCCTAATAACACACGCTGTTCGTTTTTGTTTCTACACGTTTTTTTTTACTCACAATGATTGTCAAGAAAGCGTGTTTGTCGTGTTCATGTCAAATTAAACTGATCACAAAACACAGATTCACTTTATTTCGTTTTCCACATCCAACCCCCATAAATCCCTGTGTGTCCTCCTGCAGCACTCCCGAAGGACAACAGACAAGACAAAAAAGTCTGACGTGTTGAGTAAAAACTGCTATTTTTAGCACATTTTTAGGGCCGACGTGTTGCTACCAGACGTACAGTGTGAGCAGTCAGGTCGCATCCGAGAACTGGGTCGTGCAGTGTGAGCACATGACTCGTGAGATCTGCCCTGCGAGGAAGTCGTACAGTTTGAGCTGAAGCTGAGTGCTACGAGTGAAAAAGTCGCAGTGTACGCCCGGCTTTATGGTGACTTCCAGGTAGGTACATCCAACAATGGCTCAGCGATTCCAAGTATCCTGAAGATGAAACAAACTTGAGTCCAAACACCAAAATTCAAGCACAAAAAACCAGATAAATCCAAAAACTGCGACAGCACGAATGTCTGAGCAGAGACCAAGCAAAACCTAAGAACTGAGTAGCAAGATTCTACCGTGAGTAGTTAATCATCCAGCGATGTGAAGTGGTTCCCTCTCCTCTTAAATAGAGGTCTGCTGCGGTTGATTAGAGGAACTGCAGCTGCCGCTGATCGGTAATGCTCCGCAGCTGGTGAGTGCCCTCTCCTGGAATGAAGATCTTACAAAGATGTTGTAGAGAAGAGGGAGTACTCACCCCGTCACACAACACCGAAAGGTGACTCTTCTCATCCCAAACTCAAATGTTTCAGTTTATGCAGCTACTATTTGATACCACATTGATTTTTTTATTTAATGGTTATACTGGTAGTAATGAACTTCCCTTCAGAAGTGCTATATTATACATGATTTCATTTATTAGATTATTGAACTCATGAAATGATCAGGCAGACCATAAGGCTTCATCTCTTCAGGCGTGTTTCCACTATCAGAACTTCCGGGTGACTTTACCAGGACTTCCCATGTGTGTCTCCCCTTCACCGGCGGAGTTGAACAGGCCGTTTACCGGGCCATTTTTAGGAACCAACAGACCTCCTGAACAGGGGTAGTTACTCAGAAAGGCCCGGTAGAGATACTGAGAAGAACTTTTCGTTAACTCATGCTGATTGGTTGGAGGTCCAAAACAACCAGCATTAGAAATTTAGAAGAGTTGCTTGTGAAGCAGAAATTTGGTTTTTAACTCAGCATGAGTCTTTTTAGTGTTAGTTCTTAAGCTTTAGTTTTCATGTATTTTATGTTGTGTATCGTTTTTAATTTATGTGAAGCACTTTGGTCGGGTTTATACTGTTCTGAGGTGCTATACAAATAAAATTGGCTTGGCTTCACCACCTGCGTCTGTGCGGAGACACGCAACGCAAAAATACATCTGTGCAACGGCTTTCTGGCACACTCAAATTTTTAAATATCTGTCAAAAGTGACGGAGACCACACCTGTGATTGGTCAAGACAACCCTTCCTGTAAATTTGTCAACAGCACCACCATTGTACTGTCAAAAAGTAAAAAGATATTTAGCGGCGCACACGGAACAGATTGAAGAACGCAGCGTGGGAAACGTCCAAAAATATGAACATTTATTCACCCGTGACTGAAGGAGTACAAAAACACAGAGCAAATGTTTTCTCCGTAGACAAAAATGATGGGAAACGTGGGATTAGAGCATGGTTTAGAGACGACATCCACATGAAGAAGTGGAGGACAAATTAATCCGTGTGACAAAGTCTGAAATATATAAACAGGTTAGTAAATATGCTATCGTGGATCGGATACATTAGTGTAATGGTGACATTATACCACAGAAAAGCGCTACGCCCTCTGTTGTCCTGGCGGGGAATTGCTTTGCAACACTCCCCAGGTGACGGAGAAGTCAGAAAGCAAAATGTCTGTCAATGCGTGTGCGTCTCTGCCTTGTGGAGAAGTATTTAATCAGACCTCACAGAGCACTGTAAATAAATGGTGCTTCTGGTCAACTAACACATTTTACATTATACAGCCACTCTCTCTTCCGAATGGATTACATTTCCGTACTCCGACAGAAATAAAACCTTAAATGTTAATGTGGACACTTTTTGGTGCTCACCAGTGACATCACTCACTGCCGAAACAGTCGCGATAGGCTGACGTCTGTGCAAAGTCCTTAAAGGTTTACATTTGTATGGAAACACAACAGCAGAGAGGACTGAGCCATTGTCTCTCCCCACCCAAGCCCCCACAACAGACCCCCAAAACAGATCATATAGATATGTCGATGCTCCCCACCCAGAAATAACCTGGAAGTTACAATGGAAACACGCCTTTAAGATGTTTTAAAGTGAGATTGTGTAGTTTCTACCATTAATCTCTGGAAATATTCATTGAAATGTTGTAAATGAATTAAAAGATAGTAAATTGTTGAAAAATATTGGCGGTTTTATAACATGTAACCATAAAAATTGCATCTAAAATGCATGGGAGCGGATCTAAGTCTCTGGGCGACGCCATATTGTATGCCATGTTTCCTTCTACAGACACCCGTGAGGACAGAACACATTTACTGATTTGTAACAAATGGTAACAAAACTTTCAGCATTAATAACCGTTCTTTTACACGTTTACCTCTTCACTCATTCCAAGTGATGAAAGGGAATCTGATGTTATTTAGCTGGAGATTGCACACCCAAAGATTTTTGACCTAATGGCCAACATTACGGTCTTACTTGAACACAAAAATATCGCTTGCTTGCAATGATTTAGGTATCTACTGCCCCCTATCGCCAGGGAAAATACACACTGTCACTTTAATGTAAAACTGAAGAAAACTTCTGTTTCTATTCATTTTAATTTTTTAAAATCATAACAGAAAATAATGAAAACAGAGGAAAAACATACTTCACATTTGATAACATATGAATGAATAGGTGAACCACGTTTACACCTTTTTTATACAGCAGTGAGAACATTCACAGCATTTTACAAAAATAAACAGTGAAACCTGAGAAAGCAAACAGAGACCAGCACGGCAAATACCTTCAAGCAATATTCACCTTCAGTAGCTGTTTGGTGGATTTCCTTGTCAAGAAGCTGCTTTAAAAGTCACGCTGCTTTCCACACAATTCCAAAACATGCTAAATCATCATGACATCTCCTTTTGTGTTCCTGAATATAAGCTTTTATAAAGTCTAGAGATAGAATCCAATTCAACACTATAAAACTCAAAAAGCAGCAAAATGGGTCAAATGTACAGTTCCCAGCATAAATTACAAAATACAATCACACAACCAGGCTTTTGCAAAGGCACAAAAAAGAAAGAGGAGCCAAAACCTCAAAATATCATTCAAGTAAAACATGTTCATAGATATACAATTCAAAATAGAAGTTTGATTCACAGAAACAAGATCAATGCCAAATTCTAATTTATAAGTAATTATTTACTAAGCTTTCATTTGACTGAAAAAAAAACATTTGTTGGGGAAATTCATTTTTAAACATTTCCTTCTTTAAAACCAATTTAAAATCCATTTTCTTGCAGTAAAATTACAAAGTCAATCATTTTTAATCCTCTGTTCTTAGATAACAATCTCCAGGTCCATTAGGTCAAAGTGCTTCTTCAGCGTCTTTCCGCCTAAAAGGCCAATCTTGACCTACCCTAAATTTTACTTCCTGTTTACCATTGGTTCTGTTTTTGGATAATTTCTACATGGATGCTCCACAGCTAACTCAACTTTATTCCATGCTGATGTTTTTATTAAGAATATTAAATAATTCCTCACAGAGGATCTTAGAGACACCATCAAATAAAAAGTTAGTGGTTATTCCAAAAGAAAAATGAGTCCTCTGAAAAAATTACTTTGGACATTTCAACAGGAAGGAATCTTAGATCTATGGAAGGAACTAAAAATTGGCATCAAGGAAGTTCACAAACCTCCAAGAACAGGTCAGTTTCCAGATGGCTGGAAAAGGGCACTGGTGAAGCCATCTGGGAACATCCAAGACTAAGCTAATTACAGGCCCATTAGCCTTCTACTGATCATGTCAAGTCCTGGACAAAATTTTTTTCTGAGCAGCTCCTAGAATATTAGGAATTAGGAAATGTTGCCGTATTTCTAGATTTCAAAAAGGCATTTGATACTGAAAACTATAGCATAGTAATTTAAAAACTTTCTTCCTTTCATTTCTCCAAGCGCTTGGTTTCAGTCATATTTGCAGAACTGTGAATGCGTCAGCAACAATAACTGTAAAACTAATTTTCTAAAAATCGAAACTTAAAGGAACATTTCTAGATCCCATTCTATTCAGCTTATGTATCAATTATCTTCCAGAGGTATGACCTGAGGTGAGCTTACAGATATATGCTGATGACACAGTTTTTCGTGTATCTGGTAAAGATGGTGCCACAGTCAGTGATAAATTAACCGACAGTTTATGATTTCCAGAGGGCTACAGGATTCTCTCTTAATCCTCAACACATTTCTATAAATGGGGAATCATCTTTGAATAATATCTCAGTTAAATTTTAAATGTCGTGTCAACAAAAGCTTGTAAAGTAGTCCGATCAAACATAAACTGTTTTAAGATGATAAGAAAAGAGTCCTATGGAGATAATGTGTGGTCACAGACTAGCCAGACCACACATGACCCACTGGAAAGATTTTACAACAGGGCCCAGTTACAACCATCGTAAAACTATCGAAATACAGCTTTTTAACATTTACATATTTTGTTAATTTTAGTTTTCTAAAGGTGTTTTTTAAATGTAACGACCCAATGAAAATTGTTTACATCTGGGTAACTGCACACATCCACACTAGCTGGAGGGCAAGAACCCCATCTCCAGCCTTCTCCAGAACTCCATCTATGCAATTTAAGCTAACAAAATTAAATATAGGGATTTAGATTTGACTACTTTAAATTATCCAACACATCTTTGTGCAGATGAACAAAAAACTTAAATTGTTAAAGCTAACAGTGTTTAGGATAAAGCTTCTAGATCCGTTTAGCTAGCATCATCAGAACCGACCGTCTACTGGTGTCAAGCCAGCCTCCAGTTGGAGACTTGTAGCCAAGCCAGCCTCCAGATGTGACTGACACTTTAGAGT